CGGCGCTCCTCCTCCGAGGCGCGGGCCAGGCGGTGCACGGCGTAGCCCAGGTACATGACGGAGGGCGTGGAAATGACGACGATCTGGAAGACCCAGAAGCGCACGTGGGACAGGGGCGCGAAGGCGTCGTAACAAACGTTGTCGCAGCCCGGCTGCCGCGTGTTGCACGTGAATTTGGTCTGCTCGTCTGAGTAGATGGACTCTCCGCCCACGGCCGTGAGCACGATGCGGAAGACCACCAGCACGGTGAGCCACACCTTGCCCACGAACGTGGAGTGGTTGTGGATCTCCTCCAGCAGCCGCGTCAGGAAGCTCCAGCTCATGTTGGTCATAGGGGCGGGGGGCGGGACCTGCGGGGGCCGGGAGCGGAGCTCAACCCGGGGCAGGGGTGGGGAGGAGGAGACACGACCCGCGGACCAGGAGGAGCACTCTCCGGGGAGGGAGGCACGGGAGCATTGGCGGGGGCGGGGGGGAGAACGGATCTCGGGGCGCCTGGAGCCAGGGACCCTGCCTGCGGGGAGTTCACCACCTTCAGCGAAAGAGGCAGCCCTTCCAGGAGCGCCGTGCCCACCCTCGGTCCCGACCCCGCCTGCGGGATGGATACTGGCAGAGGCCGAGCCGCAGCCCTGGCTTGCCCCAAGACCCCTCCCCTGGTCCCCGCGGCCTGCACTAGCGCCAGCCCCCATACCCTCCCCGCCCCCGGAAAGCCCGGCCCCTTGCAAGCTGCGGCCCTCCCCCAGCTCTGGGGACCCCAGCCCAGGCCCTGAGAGCGGACAGGGAGAGCAAGGCCAGCCCCACTCAGGATCTGGGGGCTGTGGGGCCTCAGCCCAGACCCATGCCCCCCCCCCCCCCACTCAGGCAGGGTCCAGGCCACTGGAGAGGGTCTCAAGGGTCCCAGCATCCCGGAGCCCTCCAGGCCCCCAGCCCCAGCCCCTGGAGCCCCTTCGGTCCCGGTCTCCAGCAGCGCCACACCCCTCCCCACTTCCCTGTCCACACCCTACACTAAGCCTTTGCTTCCTCCCTCTCCACAAAGGACCCCCAGACTCCTTCCTCAAGGGACCGTGCTGGCCCACAGGCCTTCTGGGCTGCTTCCCCCTCTCGTCCTGACACCACCACCCTGTCCTCGGCAGTCTTGTAGCCAGGACAGCCCCGCTGGGAAGCCAAGTGAGGCCAGACATCTGTCCAGGATGGGGACTGGTCCAGCAAGGCACACAGACATTAGGGCATCAGTGACACTCGGAGACAGCCACGGGGCCACTCACCGCCTCCCAGAGCAGTGCTGACCCCCAGGTGGGCCTGTGCCCAGGAGACCATGATGCTGCCATTCATTGTCTTGTGTCTCCAGGAAGGGGAGAGGGGCTGCAGCCCCCCGACCGCTGGTGCCCACCCTCCCTCCTTCGTGACCAAGGCCGGTACCTGCTTCAGGGTAGTTTGGGCACAGGAGACCCCTGAGTGCCTGCCGCTTCTGGCCCCCTCCCTCTGGGCCTGGAGGCAGCGGAGGCAGGCGGGGGCTCTGGGGAAGCTCCTCTTTATGCAGCTGGGGCCTCTCCCCTTGGGTGGGGGCAGGAAGAGGGGGCAGCTGGGGTTCCTGGGGAAGTGACCCTTCTTCCTCACATCTGTGTGCAGTGCCCCCTCAGAGCGACACACGCACAAGCCCTCCTCAAGTGCACACCCACACGTGCACGCAGACACCCACGTGCATACAGCTGCTCACGCGAGCCCAGACACAGACGCACGCTCGTGTGTGCACACACTAATAACCAAATGCACAGATGTCCACACACTCATATCTGCACACGTTTACCAACGCTGTGCTCGTGCACACACTCAGGTACACGTGCACGCTTACACACCGGTGGACATGCCCAGCCCTCCCCCGCTGGCGGGGCCGCACGCCGGGGCCCCGCCTCACCTGCCAGGCTGGCTGTTCTCCCTGGGTTCTAACCCCACTGGTCCAGGATCTGTCCCCGCCCCTGACCTGACAGTCCCACCTCCACAGGAACCCAGCAGGAGGGCCCCCAGCTCTTCTCTTACTCCCAGATGGAGACCCCCAGAGAAGTGAGGAGAGGAAGAGCCCCTTGGTGTGTGGTCTAGGTATGCGTGGGAGCCTTGCTGTAGTGTTTGCTAATTCCTGGGGTGACCATGTCCCCAGCACGCCCATGGCCAGCTTGAGGAGACCCCCAGAGGGGGCTCTTGAGACTAGCTCTAGCTGTGCGCTGGGGCTGACCCTGCCCTGAGGTGTGAGAAGCAGCGCTTTGCCTTGGGGGCCAGCCTGGACGGTCAGAGGCCAAGAGATGAGATGTGTCAGGGAGAGAGGGCGTCTCAGGCCCTCAGCTGGGGGTGGGGGCCAGTCTGGGCAGCAGGAGTTGGAGGGAGCACAGCTGGGGAGTCAGGCTGCCTATGGGTGGGGGGCAGACTCACTGGTGGCACCACCCTCTGGCTCTTCAGCTGAGGGCCACGCCCAGTGCTGCGTGCATGTGTGTGCAGGGCCCATGTCACGCACCCAGTGACGCCAGGGTTGTTCCGCACTCAGGAGGCTGCACGGACCAGCTCCGGCCTCAGTCCCATGCGGGAGGGTCCTCCAAACCCAAGGCCCAAGGTGCCTCCTGACGTGGCCAGGCGGATGCGGGCAGGAATGGCGAACCCCAGTCCTTATCCTGGACGGCTCTCTGTCCTGCGCCCCTGCGCACCATCAGCAAAGCTTGGAGGCAACTTTGCCAGGCTCTGTCTTGCTCCCTGAGAGCCTAGCTCACCGGTCACCTTAGGAGGCCCATTGACCCCGCTCCTGGGACTCCCAAGACTTTGCAGTAACAGCCAAGCACACCTGGTCCATCGCCACGTAAGGTCCACCCCCAGGCCGAGCCCACACAGCCGCGGGACCAAGGCCCCGCCTCCAGCATACCCGCCCCTCACATACCCATGCACACTTGCACACACCCACGCTCCACCCGCACCCCTGCCCACGTCCTTGCCCCACTCACATCTTGCACACATCCTACCTGCACACACTCATGCGCCCACACACGTCCACACCGCGTCCACGTCCTACGCTCCATGCCCTGGCTCACCCTGCACACGACCCGACACGGGTCCATGCCCGCCTACACCCACCCCTCCACGCCCCACCCCTCCACGCCCCCACATGCCAGGCCTGCCCCGCACACGCGCCCATACGTGTCCGTGCCCGCCCACCCTCTGCACGCCACGCCCCGTAACGCCCCGCCCACACCCCGTGCCCCGCCCCCCTCCCCCCGCCTCAGAGGCTGGGACCTCAGCGCTGTCCCCCATCAGCTTTATTTGTCACTGCCTGGGGGTTCTCACTACCTGGGGGCCATAGACCGGGAAGGGGAGGGGCTGGAATGTCCCACGTAGATGTGGGGTAGCGTCGGGCGTCGGAGATCGGGTCTGAACCCGCGTTCAGCTGAACAAGACAGGATGGCTCCCCAGGGAATGTCACGATCACGTGCGCGTACATGGGTTTGTACACGCGCCTCGTCCCTTGCCCGGCAGCTAGAAGGGTGGCAGTGCGAAAACATCCATAGCAAGGAACACATGCACCGTGGGCCCACTCTCAGTAAAGGACCCTGAGCTTGGGGCGGAGCTGCTCGTGCCATGGGGGGAAGGGAATGCGTCGGAGCACGTGCTTGTGCCGGAAAGCAAGGAAGTGCAAACCCGCGTGCACACGCCGGCGCGCGCAGCAATGCACAGAAGCACGCACGTGTGCACACTCAGGGCGCCCACACACGCTCTCATGCACACGTGTACAGACACATGTGCGCCCACGCCCTCACTCAGCCCCTGCACATGCACACACACGCCCTCCACATCCGCACACGCGCGCGCACACACAGGCAGGCACGTGCACACACACGCCCGCACATGCACACACTCGCCCGCATCCACATGCGTGCACACACAGGCAGGCACGTGCACACACACGCCTGCACATGCACACACACGCCCGCACCCACAGAGGCAGGCACGTGCACACACATGCCCGCACATGCACACACTCGCCCGCATCCACATGCGTGCACACATAGGCAGGCACATGCACACACACGCTCGCACATGCCCACGCGTGCACAGGCAGGCACGTGCACACACGCCCGCACATGCACACACACACCCGCACCCACACAGGCAGGCACGTGCACACACACGCCCGCACCCACACGCACCCAGAGGCAGGCACATGCACACACACGCCCGCACATGCCCACGCACGCCCACACAGGCAGGCACTTGCACACACACACCAGCACGTGCACACACAGGCAGGCGCTTGCACACACACGCACCCAGAGGCAGGCACGTGCACACACACGCCCGCACATGCACACACACTCCCGCACCCCCACGCACCCACAGAGGCAGGCATGTGCACACACACGTCCGCACATGCACACACACGCCCGCACCCACACGCACCCACAGAGGCAGGCACGTGCACACACATGCCCGCACCCACACGCACCCACAGAGGCAGGCATGTGCACAGACACGTCCGCACATGCACACACATGCCCGCACCCACACGCACCCACAGAAGCAGGCACGTGCACACACACGCCCGAACCCACACAGGCAGGCACGTGCACACACACGCACCCAGAGGCAGGCACGTGCACACACACGCCCGCACATGCACACACACGCCTGCACCCACACGCACCCACAGAGGCAGGCACGTGCACACACACGCACCCACACAGGCAGGC